ATCCCACCAAAGACATAGCAGCATCGTGAAGGGAGCGACAGTGCCTAGAGGAAGTCAGGGATGTTGTGGGATCTTCGCAGGTGATTCTGGTCTCTTTCCCTCCCTCCTTCACCTCTCCCAGGATGCTGGAGGGGAAAGGAAATGTCGAGCCTTGACATGAAGGATGACAAGGCTGGAGAGTGGATTCATCATCTGCACAGACATTGAGGTTGTCAAGGATTGATAGCAAAACTTGGGAAGGCGAGGAGGACCAATAGCCAAGTCATTAATAAGATGAGGAGGTACATGGAGAATTGCATAGCTGGACTCCATGGGCCTCAAAGGTGGCATTTTTACTTAAGGATGGAGGAGCAATGATTGGGGATGACTTCCAGGAAAAAAAGAATGGCCACTCTTTTCCACACCCATTTTTTTAGTAATGGGAGTATGAAGAAAATGAACCATCTCCACTTAAGAAAGCCCTCAAGTGAAGGAAGGTCCTGGTGCAGTGGCTCTTACACCCCAGCCTCGTGTTAAAATCATGTGGGAGAGAACTTTGAAAATGCATTGATGGCAGCTGAAGCTGAATCACTGGGGAAGAGGATACCTGTCGGCAGGTTTGTAAAGCTCACACACGATTCTAATATGCAGCCTGGGGTTGAGAGCCCCTGCCCTGGCTATGGTTAAGACAAGAAGGTAGCGGGAGCCAGGGAATTTGGTCCAAACAGGACTAGGATACTACAAGGCACATGAGAATGATGGTCAGAAAGTGCAACTGTGGGGCATGAGTTTGGGGAATGAGACAGGGAAGAAACAGAGTAACACAGGGTGTGGCTGAAAAGGACATGGCCTTAAGGGGTATAACTCTTAAGTCTTGATTCTTAAGTAACACACACTCCTAACTAGCCCATTTATTCAGTCTGTCAGCCCAAAAGCAGAATGTTGGAGGGGGTTTGAGGAAGGAGGAAAGAGATCACACTGAAAGCAGTAAGAAATGATGGCAAGCAGCCTGACATCAAAGGGGGAGATAAAAACAAGCCCTAGAAAGCAGTTCCAGAATTAGCAAAATGGAGGGGCCAAATTAAATTGTTATCCAAAGTTGTCTTCATCCAAAGTTGTTGTCTGCTGAGCAGACAGACATAGGTTCAAGGCAACATTTGTACTCCGCTTGTTATTCTGACCTAGCAGTTGCAGAGTTATTAGTGTTATTATTGAGTTATTAGCAAATAAATGGAGATTTTAGTGCTGTTAACC